CATTGGCTACCTTTGGCCTGCTTCACCTCCCTTTGGTTTGGCCAAACAGCCTCAGTATGTTCGGCTGAACCAAAAGGAAGAGCCTGTTCGCCTCAGCCGATGCAACATCAGCTGACATCACGGAACTCACGCCGCCCATTTGTTTACATTCCGGCCAGACCTGTCATTTTGCGTCAGGTGTTTGGTGGTAGCGGTCAAGTCGGCGGTCAGTGGGCATCGGTCATCATAATTGACAATGGATTACATCGCTGGAAAACATGATTAACCATGGATTACAGTGTAGGATGATTTTGTTTTAGTTTTTTTTAGCAATAAAGGACTTAGGACTTGTTCAGTTAAAGGACTTTTTCATGGTGTGGGGCTTTTATTTACTATTTAATTAACTCTTTTGTGAATGCGTAGGGGTAACAACTACCTTTTACTCATCAGCATGGGGACAAGGTGCTTTTCCAGGGGCTCTCAAACTGCCAAGACAGTGAATGGAAGCGGAGTCAAGATCACAAGCCGAATTCATACACAGGGAAGCTGATTCATAGATCAAGTTGCAGGGACATGGGAACTAGCTGTCAACCACTCAGCAGTTATCTCATGGCCCACATTTTTTTAAACAGGCAATTTAGCATGGCCGCTAATGAACGTGCACCAGTATGCTAATGTACACATGTCTACATGATGTTCTGTGCATGCACAAATACCAGCATTTGCACCAGTGCATGTCTGCCCCTAACCTTATGCACAGGGTTGCTCAACAAGATTCACTCACGTATTTGAGCCTGAACTGGTTTTCTAGTAAGTCCCTTACAAGGAGGGGGCTTTAAATCAACAGGAAGTCCTCCTCTGCCATCTGCTGATGTGCTTTTAGTGCCCAGTCTATTACACCATGCAGTGGGTGCTCCAGTAGAAGATCTACAGGGATAGTGTCACTGTTGGCCACATTTGAGTTGCCTCTTCAAATAATGACAAAGCTGTACATGCATCCTGAATGAGGGCCTACTTATAAAGGTGCAGCTGCTGCAGCATTGCCAAGGTGGAGTTCCAGAATGTAATTGTATCTTGTATAAATGAGTTTGCAGACAGGTTGGGTTGCTATTGAATGTCAGCCAGCTAAATACTGGTTGGGTATGACCACCTGAAGTGGCTACACACTCTGCTTCAAACTAGGTACCACTGCTCCACCATTTTGAGGACACATGCCTAGCAAGGCATATGTGTGAACTTTTTCTGCCAAAGGGTGGACAGCAGGTTGGTGCTGTTGTCACACATGACACTTCCTGGCACAAGATGACATGGAGTTAGCCACCTCTGGGCCTGCTCCTGCAGAGCTGACAGAATTTTTGCCCCACTTTTTGTCCTCCAGCTACAAAACAGCATGACATAATTTTGCTTGAGCCATTGAATAGCCTCTTGGTTGCTTCAGGTGGGTCTGGTGGTGTCAGACAATGACTCATAAATAGAGGCCATTGAGAAGGAGGGGGTGGAGGTGACTGATCTGTCTTTATTATCAAGTTGAAGGATGTGGGGCACTACCAGATGCAACAGTGTACCCTGTCCTGCATCATTCCTGACCATCTGCAAAGTTACTCAGTGGGCCATGAAGGAGATATAACATCGCTGTCCATGCTTGACCATATCTGTGGTCATGTGGACCCAGTCACTGACTGCACAAACTTCTGGGTGACAAAATGGAACCTGCTACATTGGTACAGCTCAGGCTGCAAACTCTCAAAAGGGGCAGGCTCCATCAGCTGCAAGCAGAGCATCTCAGAAGCAACAATTGTGTTGCTTCTGAGCTGCTATTGTATAATACAGCAGGAGATGGAAAGGTGGGGTTTGGACACTCAGAGCAAGGTTGTAGCCTATGCATGTCCTTACTCTGCATGGCCCCATGTTGACCCTATTCCCTGCTGAAAGTGTCAAAGCCCTTGTAAGTCTTTCACATTACATATGGCACTATTCTGTAGTAGGGAGAAAGGTGGGAAGGGAGGAGTAGAAAGTTGGAGGAGGAGCATGGGCCTCTTGCTGCCAACCAGTAGTATTCATTTGGAGGTCCCACCGAGCTCTGTGGTGAGCAGCCATGTGTCTCTTCATATACAATATGTGGTACCCAAATGACCAATAGATTTACCATGCTGGAAACACTGCTGGCAGAGATTGCAAATTACTATGGTGCTATCTGCAGCACATTTGTGGAAAAAGGCCCACACATCTGGGCTATGGGGAGTAGGCCTGGGGAGATTAGTGGCTTGCACCTGTGAAGCAGTGCCAACCTGTAGAATAGGGATCTTCCTCCCTCCAAGACTCTGTTTTCTTCCCCTGGATGACCTACTTTCTCATTGATGTTGTGCCTCTTCCATACTTTCCTACTCTACTATATTGGCACCCAGGTATGGTTGGAAACAAAGACATCATCATCATTCCCATCCTCACCATCACTTGAGCCTACTTGGCAGTAACCTGTAGCTGCAGGAACATCTTCAATGCCATATTTTCTCTCTACCTCTTGTCCCCTCTTTCTATGCTCCTACTGATCCTTAACCCAAGATAACATTAATTTCTGTGCATTCTGCTGCAGCAAGTGACTGAAGCTGTGATGACGTAATTGAGCCAACTCTTCTGTGCTAGTGTGCAGGGCATTGGCAGGATTAGCTCTGGATGAGGTGGAAGAACAGGGCGCATTTGCAGCTAAAGATGACATTATGCTTCTTTTTGTCTGAGATAAACAAGTGGAGGATGATGAAGGCTTGGTTCCCCACTCCACCATCTCCTTCACATGCTCTTGTTGTACAGAATACCCATTGGCCCCTCAAAACTGTGACCTGACCACTGCTTTGGATGTGCTGTGGATGCATAAACTGCTCACCCCCCTAATAGATGCACATAAACAAACTCTGCCTCTCTCTTTAGCCCTCCCAGACAGATAGTAATGGGTCATTCCTTCATTTTATTAACAGCTTTGGCAATAGGTGGTTGGGGTTGGTGTGCTTTGGTGCACTTTACAATGTGGTGCTTTTGTGCAGTAAACTGAAACACAATAGTTGGCGATGCTGAGCTGCTACCAAATGGTATCTCTTCCTGTGCCACCCCTGCTTCTGCCCCCCCCCAAAAAAAAACAACTCATTGGCCACAGTTATTCACCTGACGACAGATTAAAGTGCACTGCAAGACATTGTGGGGCATACGTTTTGACGCCTCCATTAAACGTCTTTGTAAATTCAGAGTTTGGACGAATGTCAAACAAGCAAAGTTTAGAGTGAACCTAACATTGATCCAAGCTTCAACCTCATTCCAATTCCTGGGTGACATTGTTGACCAACATGGTCAATTAATTGTTTTCTAAGGTGCGCTGTGCTGCTAATTTTACCCTACCTCTGATATAGTGGTAATTGTAATGTGTTTTGATTATTGTATATACACCATTAACACCATTGACTCATACAAATAAAAATTTACAATTATATTGAATGAAAAAACAGGGACAAATTATATCCACAGTGGGTTAAAGAATACTTCAGTGATTGATCTCCAAAAGTTTTGGCTATTCACTCAATGCTGTTCGGCCCCTATGAGAATAGGCCAAACAGCAGCGAGTAGCCTCTTGGAGGTTCGGCTCAGCCGATCCAGATGTTGAACTCCTTCTGCACGTCAGGTCGGCCGAACATGCTGAGCATGTTCAGCCGACCCGAAGCCACCTGAAGCAAGTCGATGTACGGCTGATTTCAGCAGATGTACGGCTGAAATCAGATGTACAAGCCTGAAGTGAATAGCCGAAAAGTGTTCGGCTAACTTCACTGCCTTCGGCAGCTTTGTGAATAACCCTCTAAGAATCACTTTATTGTGATGAGTCACCAGAATCCTGAAGGGGCAGTTGGTTAGAGTAAGAAGGAACTGTACTCGTGACTTAGATTATGAAGAACAAGCGAAGACTCTTGAGAATAGATTTGTAGAGAAAGGATATGAGGTGAATATGGTTTACAAGAGGAAAAGGGGAAAAGGAACCATGAGGGAAATTTTCCTTTGTTAATTATAACTGACTATAAAGCCCAATATCAAACAATTGAACAAATTTGGCATAAACATTGTGGAATTTTACAACAGGATAAGACATTGGGCCCATTGATCCCTAAGAAACCCATAACGGTTTATAGGAGACTATCATCATTAAGAGATAAATTAATTAATGGTGTGATATCAAAGGGTATTACTTTTTTTGAAGGGGTAGGTTTCTTCCCTTGTAAGAATTTTGTGGGATGTAGGGTAATTGGAAATAGTGGGGAAGGAAAAAAATTAATTTTCCCTCACAAGTTAATGGGAAACAGTTTGAAAGTAAGGAGTTCATCTCTTGTCATACAGCCTTTGTTATGTATGTATTGGAGTGCCCTTGTGGCCTTCAATATGTTGAAAGGACCACCAGAGAGTTGAGGATAAGGATCAAAGAGCATGTGAAAAATCTAAAAAATGGTTTTGAGAAACATACAGGGTTAAAAGCAAGATATTCTATTTATCATAATTTGCTTTAACCGTGCTGTTTAAAAGTATATTTTTTTGTAAGGAACCACAAAGGAGAAAAGTGGTTCTTAAGATGCCAGCAGCCCAAATAGAAAAGACAATGTCAACAAAGAAGTGTTTTTCCCCATTACATGACAAGAGTGTCTTTTAACCTAATTCATCTTCAAAGTTAGTATTTTTGTCATATATTTCAAATATAGATAAATATATATAAAATGTATTTTATTTTCTTGAAATAAGAAAAGTGTTATTATTATTTACAACACTATTCATAGAAGAATACATTGTAAATTAAATGCGAATTGTTCTATTGCTTTATTTTCTATTGCATAAAAATCAAATAGCAATACAAAATTATTGTAAAATTATAATCATACTGAAATATTTACACTTGAATTATTAAAACTATGCATTCGCCTAAATTAGTCAACATAAAAGGAAGATATTTAAAGTATTGATGAGTCTATAGCTTTTGTATACTATGTGATATTTTTCTAATGAAAGTTGTTCTTCTCCAGATATCTACTCTTCTGAAGTCTCCTGTGCATAAGGTATGCAAGGCCACCCATAATGGTACAGAGTAAAGCCAAGAAGCCAACTGTTATTCCTAAGCCAACAGCAGTGCTTACAATTTCTTGGGAGCCCACTTTGGAAGAACCTGTAAAGTTAAATATATGTTATCATGATGAATTAGAAATAGCAATGTATTTAAAAAAATTAATAACATGATTCCATAGGAACGGCTAGGTAAACAAAATAAAAGCAACCTTATAACAAGAGAAATTGCATTTGTAACATGGAATTTAAACACAGTCAATAGCTGTAATTTAGGTTTTGTACACTCTGCAAAGAAGTTCAGTATTTCATTAATTAATCTGTCCAAATCCTAAATTGTATTCTTCACAAATCATGCAGGTTCCTATACAAATGTTCAGATGCATCAATACATAAAGAATTAGCAAATCTCTGATCATTTTGAATATATGTATGTAGATTTTCCACTTTGCATACAACCATACATACAATCCAGTCTGGATCCTGAAATGCACAGAAATTTACATGAAAATCACACATTTTCTGGATTTGATTATCAATGATCTGGATATTAGGGTTGGAGCGCATTTTGGCCAAGGTCTCCTTAATATTATAACATGCAGCCACAATAATAATAACAATAATAATACTAGTCAAGGTTTTATCTAAAAACCATATTTAAAAAATAATGGTAAAAGGTCTTCTTCTTTAGAATCCAGTGGAATAGGAACTAAACATTGAGTCCTAAATGACATTTTTTTTTACATTTTACTCTTCAACAACATCTATTGCTGTGGTAAATCTTGTGATAGAGCATAGTTTTAGAGGAGGTGAGAAAGATGATTCAAAGTACACAATAAAGTTACTTTTATGTCTGTTTGGGGTTGATTTACTAACCTTATAAACACGCCACGAACAAGTATACACCTCTGTAGTGTGTTCCCTCCCAGCATGATCTATTGGTGGAATCTAGACACCTTAGTAGTGTGTACACACCCAGCAGGTGTGTTGTGCAAAGCCCTGCATGAATTGCATGGTGATTTTGTGTAAATTAGCTCTACGTTGTGATGCTTGCGTTGATGAATGCAGGAATGTAAATGCATGAGCTAACCATTTTTGTCTAAACTGTGAAGCAGCATTATATATGCATCATGTGCATGATTTTTCCATACTGTATATGGCATTAGTGGAAATATGCTTTTAGTGACTTGCATGCCGCTATTAGAGCGGCGTGTAGCCTATGGCGCATGCTACATGACGCGCACGTACGTAAATACATAAAAACGCGCATGAATATATAACGGCATGAAAATGTGACACGTTGCTCGTGTTTGGTTTATAAATTAGTTTTGCTGTGTAAAAATGCACACGCACCTGGTGCGTGCGTGTGTTTAGGTTAGTAAATCACCCCCTTTGTGTCTGTTTTTCTGTCAGACTTGTGCTAAAAACAAAAACACCAAAAAGAAGAACTTCTAAAAGAAATTAGTGAAAAACACAAATCTAGCATTGAAAGTTTTTAGTAACAATGCAAGCTCATTGGTCACACGCAATATAACTACAATAAACTCCCTATTATCCGGCATTCAAGAAACGGGCACTCTCAAGCAAAACACAAAAAAACCTAGAGGACATAATATGCCCTTGATTTTTTTGATGTTGCTTGATAAACATGGGCACACTAAAAAATGTAATTAGCATCCAACACAATGTATTTAGTTGCTAATTAAATTCTTTGTTTACATCCTCCTGCCAGCCAGTGGCTAGATTCTGCAGCAGAATGTTAACAATGAGGATCAATATCCAGCCTGCTATTGTCTATTTTAAATTGCAATAGCCAATATCAAGCTGGCTGTTGCACCCACCCACTGAGCAGCTGAGTGGGCCTGAGAGAAACGATTCTCTCTCAGGTCCGCTCCTCTGCTCAGTGAGTGGGTGCAATAGCCAAAAAATGCAATACACTGACCAGCGCCAGGAAGACCATCCATAAGCCAGAACCCTTCACTATGCACCCAGTAGAGGCTGCCCCGTTTCAGTCAGGGAGTCCAGAAGGCTATATATAAAAACAAAAAAACAACTGGGTGCCTTTCCTGGTGCAGGTAAAACCTTTTTATTCAATAAAGGAGTAACCAAAAAGATACTTGCAAAATAAGCAGTCTATAAAAACATAAAAATGCACTGACAGTCCTTGATTGATTATCTGCTTTCGATGTGACAGATGGAGAGATCAAGGAGACACTCAGAAGACTCTGTTCTCCTCACAGAGTTCCACTGCTAATGCTACTGCTACTGCAATTTGAAATAGTCAACGGCAGGCTGGCCATTGCTCCCACCCACTGCCTGCTGTTTACTTTTACCAGCTAGCTGTTGAATCTAGTCAGCAGATGAATGGGGCCAGGGGAAGCACTGCAGGGGGTTGCTAAGGGAGTTACTATTAACTCTCAAGCAACCAGAAACTACAGACATCCAGTACATACTGATTTCCATGGGTGCCAGATAACTGGGAGTTTACTGTATTATGCCAGAGTTAATTTTATTGACCAATTATTATTTAGGCTATGCACAGTTGTATTAAAACATTAGGCGATACATGGCCAACTGAAAAGTTTGATGGAATCTTCAAGTACAAAAAAGTCTTACAGGGAGGAGTCATCAATGTGGGATTTTTATATATACAAATGCTATTTGCAGTCATTGAATTAAGAAAATGAAACCCATAACCTGGACATATACAGTATTATTGTTTTGCCATGGTGTTAAACAGTAATATTTATTCTTGTAAGTAGTCACCACCATGCAGCATTCCCTTATATCTTCATGTCTTTCTGGTTAAAACACATACTGATAAAGGATAGAGTAGAAATGAGACAGTCCTACAAAAGTATAGGAATCTACCTAGAGTTGCATACCGTACATTTATACTGAGAATAAGAATTTTAGAATCAATTGAAATGCCCAAAACACAACAGATAAAGCTGGAGAATCTGTGAATGTGTAGATGTAGGAATTTCACAATGACATTCTAACCAGGTAGGGAAAATAGTCACAATGGAATATAACACATTTGTTACATAGCTAATTAAAGCAATGATCTATATTCTTTGCATATTATTGCTTATAAACTCTGGGTTATTTTTTTTTTTTTAAGTGTGGTGAGTAAGGTTGGAATATGAAAAATAATTGGATGTAATTTTAAGAAGATATTTAACACAGATTGTTTGCAGAGTGTTTGTTAGGGAGGAGCAGTTCAAAGAATACATTTTAACAGCTCATGTCAAAGTTTACCTGTGTATTTTATTCATGACAAAATGAAAAATCCCTTGAACAGAGATATCCACATCACAAATATGCTCCATCTGTCAGTGTATTTTAGACAGATTGGTTGAAATACCTTTGGGGACATATTTATAAAGCAGTCAATCAGACATTCACCAAACATCCACTGCAGGTGAATCCTCCAGGTACATTTAAATGACAGTGATGTGTTCACCCCAGTGAATGTTTGGCAAAAGTCGCATTCAATACTTTATAAATATGCCCCTTGGAGTAGATTACACTTTTTTGCACATATCTAACCACTAATGGAAATTATTTTAAAAAAATAGTTTAAAGTGTTCCTTGCACACACTACATGTGCAACATTATAGCAGAGCAGAGGTAGCTGAGATGGCTTAGATGACAGAGATAGCTGAGATGATCAGAAGGCTTTGCTATGAGTCATGTAAATATGCATGTGGTGCCACTGTAGCACATGCTATTCTTTTTAAATAAATAAAACATCCACTTATTATTGTTGATTGAAACAATATAGCAGGGCAAAAAATTAATCTATACTTACTGGAGGATAAACTGTCTGAATTGCCTATGAAGAAAATGGGAAATGATTGCTCTGTTATAACATTTATGATCAATAAAGACTCAATCAGATTAGACTCAACAATAGTATTAAAGTATTATATCTCAGTAGAGACGAATTTATGTATCCCCGAATATAGTTTTCGTACATTCGGGCATATAATGAATTTGTTATTTCGGATTCACACGAAAACGCCGAATCAACTGAATTTTGTTGATTTGCAGGTCCGTCCAAATCCTAACGTACATGTCTAATAAAAACTATTCATTGCATTAATATAGATAATTTGTTAAAACATCTTGATTCAAAGTTACATTATTTATGTCATATGCACTGAGAAAATCATCCCATTTTATAGGCTTTATAAATGATTTCTTAGAAGCCATGTGGATAACAATAAATCAGTTTTTGTATAATTTGAGTAAATATACTTGTGCGTCACTGCATATTGAGAACATAATGCGTATAACTCCTTTAGAGGTGAGTTTTATTGTTTCTGTCCCTGCCACCAGCACCTGCTTAAGTTTTGTAAGCCTCCTGCATCCAGTCCTGTAATCTTTGTATACAAAAGAGATACAGAGATTCCAGTGGAGGGTAAAGGTTATCCACACCAATTATCATCTGATCAACAGCAGTGCCTGGACCACAGAGGATGACCCCATATGATGACAATTCTCTTTTATCGTAATGAAACAGGGTTCTGTTTTCAACTGTTTCAGCCAAGGCATGCAAGGCTCATTTTCAGACCCCTTCTGTGTTGCAGGAGTGGGGATACACTTGTCAAAACAAGCCTGCTACTTTGTTCAACTTTATATATTCTTCAGAGTGATAAAAGTGGCTACCATAAAAAATAACTCTATAAACACTGTTTTCAGGGCTTGCTTAAAACTGCATTGTAACAATATTAGTATTATTACAGTGTGTTTTTAATAAGCTATTTTATGTGTAAATTAAAGGAGTTTACTTTGATCTGCACATAGTGTCAATTAAAGCAACCTGGCAAGTGAAGACGATACCCCCTTCTATCTCTCCTTAGTTATTATTTTTCTGTCTTTTTTATTTTAATGCTTTTCATTTTTACCAGTCATATATTTTGTAAAGAAATATAAAAAGCTAATACAACATTTCTAAAGCCTTTATTTCCTAGGTAAATCGGCATGCTTTTCTCTAGAAACATAATTTTAGGGTAATTATATTAGGACAAATTATAGGATAAAATGTGTACTTTTTACCTACAATAACACTAGTTGTTTTAAAAAATATTTTTGTTTATTTGTATTTTTTTTATTTATAGATTTGACTGCCAAATACATTTTCATAATGTATGCTATTTTCCAGTTAGTGTAGTTTAGTATTTTGTGCTTCTGTACTTACCATTATCAGCATTGGTAATGATTCCTGGTGAAGTGACTGTTGCTGGATCGGAAAGTGAAGGAGTTCCTGAAGAGCTTGAAGCTGCTCTAACACTCCTTTTCCGTTTTGCGCATGTCTGTAAAGAAATATATGAGTACTCTTAGGAAACGTTTATACTAAGGAAAAGATTATACTCAAAAGTTTATACTGAAGACAAGAATTAATTCATGGTAATTCAAAACTGCACATTTAGGCCTGATTCATACTTAACTGTTTTGTTATGGTGCGTTAATGCACCACGATGGATAAAAAAGCACATGCCCTTTTTGTTTAGCAATACAATGCACTGCAATGGTAGGGTGGTGCCCTGTGGTGCTTTGCTATCTACGGTGCAGTGTATTGGGGTGTCATTCATAATGAATTGCTTTGCAATGCACCACTCATAGAGTAGTTGCATTAATGTGTATTTTGGTAAAGCACGTTAACATGCATTTTAGCGAATGTTACTGCAATGCAGTAAATAAACCCTTAAAATGTTCTAATATGGTTTTTTTTGTATGTGGTGTATGATGGGGTATGCCAATAGAACTGCACCTTGGGAAATAAGTGGAAATATTTCTCTTAGTACCTTTAACTTTTCTATCACTATGGCCACAAACATGATTGGTTGTTTCTGATAATCAATATTTAGAAGATCCCTTTTAATTTGACACACATATCTACTCACCATCCTTTGGAGAGTCTTGGTGTATATTAAGATTCCTTCAATGCATTTATAAATTTAGAGTGTAAAAGTCATAAATACCTTAAAGTAAAACAAAAGGCTATTCTTTTTTTACCTTAATTAATTCTCTCCCAGACAATCTCTGATGTGTCTCTGAAGTTCTGGGTTGAGAGGAGAGATCCCGAGGACACTGAAGGCAGAGCAGTGATAGGCTGCTGCACTTGTCTGTCAAGGTACTAAGAGGAGGGAGGAGGTGGGGAAAGGGGCATGCCTTGTTAAGTGCTGTGTGTGTCACTGGACACACACAGTACGGCTCCTAGCCTGGCCAGGAGTGTGCACGCAAGCACAGGTGTCTCCTTTGCGACCTGCTAGGCAAGGAAGACACCCATAAACAGGAGGGTAGGGGGACGTAATACACCCTTTGAAGAATTAAAGAAAATAGACAGTATAAAAAAGAGCTACACAGGTACAAATGGCTCTCCTATGGAGATTTATTTTAAACACGAGGGTTTAATATCGCTTTAATGTTAACTAATTAAAGTGTAGTACTTGTATTGGTTAAAAAGGAAAAAGATGATTTATCTACAGTACAATCACACACAGTTATGTCTATAATACTTACTGGCTTAAAGGCCGGACATGCAGACACTTCACAGAGTCTGGTAATACAATGCAAATAAAATGTTGACACAGCCTGCTGATACTGTTCAAGGAATCGGAAAGCTGAAAAGTAAAAACGGGCAACCTGGCTGTCTCCATTTTGTTTTATAAAAGTATAGGAATCTTTTTGGCATCTAAAGAAATAGATAAACATAGTTACTTTACAGCTGACTGTTTTGTCAGGTTATGCTTTACAAATAAAAAGACATTTGTTACACATAAAAAAATTGTTGAAAACAATGCCATTTATTCAGACTGCCTGTCTGAAATAAAAAATGTTTTACTCTTGCTACCCCAATATTCATTATGACCCTGTTCATGCTCTGAACACATTGTTCAGAAACAAAAAAAAATACATATGCTTAAAGGAAATGATTGCTATGTTTAGTTTTCCTCTAGAAACTGGTCAGTAAAAAAAAGGTGGAGATATTTCACATTTTACATTTATATTAAAAGAAAAGCAAAACCAAATCTTTTTTTATTTTACTTCCCTTATGGATCAAAGGAGTAGATATATATATAAATGTATTCCTGTGAACCAAAGTCAGCAGACAGCAGGCTAATGCTCCCCATCAGCTGACAGTGCAGAACTGCCCTGCAGCCAGGAAGCATCCCAACAATATTGTGACAGCTTGCTTTCCCTCTCTAAAGCTAGAGCCATGTGTGCCCCAGCCATCCAACACCCCTCCCCTTGTCCTTCCAATAAACACTGGAGGAATACGGGGGGATGCCTGTGGAAAGCAATAACTAACAGTCACTGTTCTCTGCCGGGAGAAGAGACTGTGAGATGAGCAATCAGTGGTTACATGATCACAGTACAGTAATCCACATTGGATATAATCATCAAGGAAAATATGTTTTACTCTTTTCACACTTCTCCTTTAACTACAATAAAATGTGTTAATACTGTAAATAAAACAGTGCAAATACATCAATTTTAGCGAGAAAACAAAATGTATGCCCCTTCAAAAGATGGAAATTGGGGCTTTAGGTAATAATCATTTTGTTTTTTTCTACCCATTTACATTGAAAAGGACATAAGAGAAGGAAAAAGAACGTTAAAGGAGAACTATGGGGGTCAGTGTTTTTCCCCATAGTTCTCCTTAGGGTAACGGGAGGACACAAACTAGCATCCTCCCATTACCGTAGGCTTAGTATACCGCGAGCTACAGCGAGCGGATCTCGACTTAGACGACGGGATCCGCCCAGCTGCGTGAGTGACAGCTGGCTCTGCCTATCTTGAGGCAGAGCCAGCTGTACCCGCTCCCTCCCCGTCCGTTCCACCAGTCAGCACTGGCAGATCGGAGCGGGGAGAGGGGAATCCAGCCCCTCCCCCTGTCACGGCAGAGAGCCGTGACAGGATCGAGAGGTGAGCGAACCCGGTATGTGTTCACTCACCTCCCGATCTACTGAGCCGACCTGTGACAGTCTCATTGTCACAGGTCGGCTAGAACTATGAGGTGAGTGAAAAGCACTCACCGCATAGTTCTCCTTTAAACTTATTGTTGGAAGATTGATAGTAAATAACAGCAAAATTGGAAAGTCTGGTACCCACATGAGAAGGCTATAAATCTACCGTTCTATATAATTACATTTTTTTTCCCAATGACACGTAGTGAAACATTTCTGATTTGTCTTACCCTACAAAGAGGTCATAGGAGGTTGAGTTTGTAGGGTATGGGGAAGTAGAAGCATAGCATCTGTCCAGTAACACATTGAACCTGTAGGAAATAAGAAATTGTTATACATTGTACGATCACACCCGTTACCACGATTTCAGATAATAGCACAAACATGTACATCAAATGCATACACTTAAGAGGCATGTACATCAGGTTTTTGGTCAACAGTTTAATAAAGTCCAATATATATGAACATAAATAGTTGTTTCATGTCAGCAATATTTTCATATTCCTGATTCTACTTATGGAGACTCTTCTTTTTTCTATTGCACCATACGCGCATGCGTGCGCATCTGGGCATGTTTTTTCTTGGCGTGTTCATGGCGTGTGTGTTAGGTTAATAAATAAGGTCCCATGTCTCAACATTTAGCTTGTGTGCCTGAACCTGCTCTTTATCCTCTACCAGACTGAGTGTCCTGCTTTTCATTTACCTTTCACCCTGCAGTGGTTATATGTACAGGTGAAACTCGAATAATTAGAATATCGTGCAAAGTTCATTAATTTCACTAATGCAACTTAAAAGGTGAAACTAATATATGAGATAGACTCATTACATGCAAAGCAAGATAATTCAAGCCGTGATTTGTCATAATTGTGATGATTATGGCTTACAGCTCATGAAAACCCCAAGAACCCCAAATCCACAACCTCAAAAAAGTAGATTATTACATGCAATCAATAAAACAAGGATTGTACATAGAACAATATCGGACCTCTGAAAAGTACAAGCATGCATATGTACTCAGTACTTGGTTTGGGCCCCTTTTGCAGCACTTACTGCAATTACTTTTGCACGATATTCTAATTATTCGAGTTTCACCTGTATGAATTTAGTTAGGCAGTTAGTTCCACAATGTACATTTTCACTGGCTTGTTTGTTGGATTGTTCCTGTATATGGTTTATGTTATCTGTGTTTCCAATATAATGTATTTCCTTTCACTTACAATAGTGTAATATTTCCTTCTATAGTCAATATATCTGGTCACACTAGACAACAGGTTACCTGCCATAGGTTTCCTGACAGTGGTTGATTCATATTTCTATTGTCATTTCTTAATTTAGGTCAAGAATCACATCTTGTGCAATTGGTTTTCTCCTATCTGTGGTGGGCTAGTTGTTGTGCCTTCCAATAACCCATATTGGTGGGTCACTGAGAATAATCATTCTCCCAATCATCATACTTTTAGTAATTACGAAGAAATCGTGCAGGATTGGCGTGGTCGTGTTTCTAGGATCAAAAAACGTGTGAACTTGCTCATGCACATGCGCAGTTGCCTGGAGCACATCCGAACACGGCACTGGTGTGTAAGTACCTTATTTTGGAATACTGTCTTTTACCAGTTTGTAAGTGTTATGTGGAATGTTTGTATGCACAGAAGCATAGCAATAACATATGTATCATATGTATGATTTGCACATGTATGGCAGTAGTAGAAATATGATTCTAGCACTTGCAATTTTTTATTATAGTGGCGTGCAGCCGATGGCGCATATTACACGACACGCGCGCAAGTAAATACATAAAAACGCGCCATGCCTGCGTGAAACCGCGCCATGAAGTGCGTGTTCGCTTGGTAAATTCATTTTTGCGGGTTAAAACGCGCACGCAGCCTGCGCGTGTGCGTGTTGGGCTTCGTAAATCAGCCCCATTGCCTCTATTTCTGGTATCTACCATAACATCTTACTTGTCAGTCAAGTTGGTTGCTCCCACTTCAACATATACTGTTTGGTTTAATTTGATTCCAGTTGGTGGGATGAGGAGAGGTCTTCCATAATTGTCATCCTAAAATGAAACATATAAGGTGCTAAATATTAAACTATTCTTTTAAAAGATCAGATATTTACAACTTTCTCAGGTGGTTAGAGCTTTTCATAAAATGGAATTAAGAAAATACCAATTTAACTATTTTGGATCAACATTTTTTTTAAAATAAGCCAGTTACCAGTGAGTGCAACATTTTTTTTCAAAGTGTTCCTTTAATATTAATTTTTTTACTAATTATTTTAGGTTATTTTTTTAATAACTACTGTAGTTTTTGTGAAATGCCCTTGTGCTCTTTTACCAAAACTAAGCATGGACAACTTGAAGGACCTGGTTAATACATTTCCTCCAGCCTCATAGAGGAATGAGGAAGGGTGATGCTCTTTAGTAACAGGCTTGTGGTTTTCAAGAAATGATAACATTGTAGAGACCAGTGGCTTATTTTGCAATGCCTGGGTTTAATTCCCATGAGGGGTATTTTATCCCTGATGTGTCAGGAGAAGGAGTAGGGGCAGGTAGAAATCACTATAACAAGGACTTAATTAGCTTATAAGCCCTTCAGCATAAGCAAACTACCCCTATGTATCAGTTCATTATTGTATTTTTGAAGGAGGATCAATAATACTAAAGAGAAAAAAAGAGGCTCACAGCAGTTGATCAAACATAGCTATCTATGAATGCATTAGCAGAATATGGGTCTGGAATCATGCAGATCAAATAATGTCACACACACACATTAGGGTATCAAAACATGAATTCATTTAAATTACTTACAAAAAACAACCGAACATATAGAGTACTGATGAAGCTACCATTATTTGTAGTGATAGCTATATTATTCCCAGCCCTACAAAACAAAGAATATGTTAATCATGTTAAACATGTTACAAATTTTGTAAACTACTTCAAATTTCCAAATCAGTAAAAGAGAAATTCTAGATTTACAGACATAACCATGTCTGTAGGAATGTATATATTGATTGCATTAATATAATATGTATTCAATGGCAGCATATTATGTATTTTGGTGAGGAAGAAATACGATGGAACTAAAGGCAAACAGGTAAAAGAAGGTTTAAATGCATATTGAGCTAGTATTTTACTTGCAAACAGATTTACAATTCACACCCCTGCCACATCTGTGACATCCGCCTAGCCATACAATATGGAGGAGGTCCATAAATGAAAGGGTTAACTGAATAGAATAGCTTCTTGCCTCCTGTTCCACTTCATTTAACTCCAAATACAACTTTAACAAAAAACATGGGGTTGTGTAATAAACACATCATTACAATAAAAACATAAGTAATTGCTATGTAATATTCAGTAGTATCTGGCTGGATCACAGCATAGTTTTTTGTTAAGATGCTTATTATCATTGTTATAATTTGACAAATAGGGAATTTTGTATTCCCATTGTGATTATAACTGGATTAGTTATATATGAAGATACACTTCTCAGACCCTACACTCATTTACTGAATAGTTGTGGTGCCTGAAGAGATCATTATATATATATAGTGCAATATAAATGGGTAAGCCGTATTAGTTCAGTAGACAAGACGTAAAAAAAACAAAAACACAGTATTGCAGTGTGCAATGATACCTTTTTTATTGGACTAACAAAATATATAAAAGACAAGCTTTCGAGAGTGAATCTCTCTTCTTCAGGTCAGAAGCAATACTAAGTAGACATGTGTGACGATGTCGGACGAATTTTCAGAAATTCGGACATTCGCGTGTATTCGAATTCCGAATTACAGACATAACAAATGCAAACGAATCTGAATTTCCATTTCCGAAATTCGGTAGCGGTAGTTCGAACGTTCGTTTCCTTTTCAGGTTCTTATTTTGCTGTTAGAGGAGGGGGGAGGGGGGGGAGTGGGGTGTCATAAATGTTGGACCCGGGAGTAAAAAATGCCTCCTCAAATGTTTTCCTTTCATGAGAGTTTTTATTAGTATTATTAGTATTTATTGAGGTTAATATTAAAGTACTAAAAGGGAATTTTAAAAACTCTCATGAAAGGAAAACATTTGAGATGAAAATGATTTTACATTTCAACACCATAAAGGAGGGACTTAATGTGGATTCTGGTTTTCTGACACACTACCAGAACTTTTTATAAAGCTACAGAACATCCCAATATTCATGTATGTGGTATATCTCTGATCTGTTTAGGGTTTATTTGTCATCCTACGTTTATTTTTTCTGTCTTTTGATTATCAGGAGGCATTTTTTACTCCTGGGTTCAACATTTATGACACCCCACTCACCCCCCCTCTCCCCCCTCCTCTAACAGCTTTCTCCTGTCTTAACTGACAAACTGTCATGTTGCTTAGTATTGCTTCTGACCTGAAGAAGAGAGGTTCACTCTCGAAAGCTTGTCTTTTATATATTTTGTTAGTCAAATAAAAAAGGTATCATTGCACACTGCAATACTGCGTTTTTGTTTTTTGGACGTCTTATATATATATATATATGCCTGTATGTTATAAAAGTGTGACTTCATATATGTGCCAATTTTGCCCATACACATAGTAAGTGTAAGATAGTACCAATAGGCTTGATCATTATGTATATAGCCATGGCCATGAAAAGCATGCAACCCTCATGGTATAGGTCAACAAATATTTCCATAGTCAATTACTAATTTAACATGGCAGCACTTTAGCTAAGTGGTTAACACTCTTCATTGCATTATGATGACATTGGGTGGATTTATTTAAAGCAAACAGGCTGTTCACTTTGCAAGGGAATTTGCACTTTGCAGAGAATTTTCCCCTAGCTCAGTAAATTAGAAACAGCACTGCTGACTTCCATTACATCTATTATTTGCATGTACAAGCAAAACAATATATTTTTTATTATCCTGGCATGTAATTGACAATCATTTGCAAAGTGAATGTTCACTACATTTACTAGGGTAAGGGAAAATTCCCTTGCAAAGTGCAAATTCCTTTATAAAGTGAACAGTCTATTATCTCTCCAGAAGTTGCTTAGAAGGTGCTTTAGTAGTTTCCTTTCAAATCCAAGAATATACAAGTATCTTCATTGGTTCCCTTCCATATTCTTTGTGTAGCACGTGTTTATGTGGAAAGGACATAAGATTGTGTTTGGGGGCAAGACTGATGAGAATGGCTCTAAGAGCTGCCATTGTGTTGACATCATATAATTACTGGAAACAAAATAAATATACAACATGGTTCTTTTTTGCAATAGATAATTCTACTTACACATCCAGTCTAGTGTTGTTCATAAGATATTCAAGAGGATAGCCACAGGAATACAAATACTTCAGTTCAGGGCTCCGGGTGATAACGCCAGTGGTAGGATCTTTAGATTTGATTATTCCACTGATGTTAACAAACTGGATGTTTGAAAAAATGTCAAAAATTCCTTCACCTACAGTATCTGTAATCTGTTTAATGTAAAAGAAAAAGTAAGGAAGGAAAAGAAAACAGGTTACTTTCATGATGTTTCTCGGTCAATTTTATTTATTTACTTTAGATTACATATTTCAGCTTCATTAAGTGCCTTAACAAAAAGTGGTTGCTAGCAAGTGTGCAGTGCAGAGACTTAAAGATGGCTTATACAGTATATAGCCGGCAGCAGCTGTGATTGCGTTCTGCAATGGCCAAAGGCTTGGTCATTCTGAGTGGGCAAAACGGTGGTATTTCCTGGTAGTTATAAAGCTTGTCTGCCCCCTCTTGCCATGTGAAAAACAGTGAATTATTACGAAATTGCCATGCAACATTCTGTAGTATTTGGCTGGATCAAATTATAGCTTTCTGTATCTTAAAGGTAAAGTTTTGGCCATAGATTTAGTAAGTGCAAAATAGCATCAAGTGATCCTTACGTTTGTAGATATGGGAATTAACAGCACTTAGAAGTGCCTGTATATAGAGGTACTTGTTTAAATCTGCAGAGGCTTTCATAGCCCTGGCCATATGCCAGGCCATTATGAGTAAGTCAAAGCTGCAACACTTTCTGGGAGAGATGGAGCTTGCCTGCCCTTTCCGTCACACACATTCCTACTCTACTTGTCAATGAGGTAGTCTGTCATAGTGATGGGCCAATAGGAATTTTTGTGTTTGGGAAGGGGGGAGAATGACCAGTTCTGAAACTATTTGGATGGAATTGTTGAAGCTTTCCTCATTCAAAATGGCCTGGCATTTAAGTGTAACAGGATAACCTTTAGGTACCTACACTTTTTTACATGATAGAGTCTTTTTAAACACTTGCAATATAGGTGAATTGGCTGCTATATTAACCGTTACACTGCCAGGTCCTGTGCTCCACTTTTAACCTCAGCTGGCCAGTCCATTTTTCACCTTTTTCATTTGCAGCTTTCAGAGTTTGTAAAAGGCTCCCCAAACCATATATTTTCCTGTTCATTCATATCTAGGCACATGTTTACTATCTCCTCAGTTTATGAACACAGGAGTATTCACTTCTGGTTACTTTGGTGTTTCTTATAAAGGGAATGATTGACAAATATTTCACATATTTGCCGATCCTCTGCTAGGCATCCTGAAGCTACAAACCCTTCTGCCTGTCAAGGCTCCTCTCTTTTCCCACAGCTCACTCACAACACTGGGTGCTGGCAGGTGGATTGGCTCTGTGTCCTCTCTGATCCCTGCTGTCTCAGCCGATACAGGAGGGGGGAGAGCAGCAGGAATTGGAGGGGACACAGACCAAAACATCCTAGTGGGGGGGAGAAATCTGCAAACAAGCAGCAGTGGCAGAAGGGGGGTGATTTACAATGGATATCTGTCATCAGTGGCTTGTCAGTCCCTGATGACATCTATTCATTTGCAGAGAGCAGTCAGGGGGACCCTTCTGTTATAAGCTTATAGTCGCTGAAGCAACCCTGAGCATATAGTAGAATGAGGAATTCACCTGCTGTAAGGCATACTAAGCTGGCCAGCTGTGAATGTTTTTGTTCTGCCCTATGCCTTACGTTGGTGGCATGGAGGTAAAGGGTTTATAGTGTGTTTGGGTGCCATTCCTGAGTACTGCATTTTACCACACCCAATTTAGATTTAAAAAACATTTTTTTTTGTCTGGTATATTTTAAACCTTTCATTCCTTGACAAAAACTCTATGACCAATTTACATACCTAAACAATTTGTATATATTTCTTATAATTTTTTAATTCGAAAATGCTATGTTTTTAATTTAGAATGACAAATGCATAGAATTTTTTTTAAAGTTCTATTTTTAACTAACTGTGATTTATCAATGAAGTCTACAGCCTGCATGTGGTTACTAAATAGTTGATTACACAATCAGAAACCATTCTGATTTTTTCCTGATCATTTGAGGGGAAACCTGGCTGTTAGTAATAGCAAGAATTTCTGTTTGTAGACAAACCAGCTAGGGATCACAGGCGACAACATTGAACAAATGAAGTTATGATCATATTTGGTCAATGATGTTACCCATGATACAGGCTGGGGATCTGTCATTTATGATAGGAGTTGCAGTAGTGAAGCAATGTCATGTGGTTGGTCATCATAGTGGTGGGGCAACATAGTCAGGTGATGGGTCATCATGGCAGCAGGACATCATTAGGTGGTGGGTCACAAGGGGGGTGGGCCATTGTAATTGACAAGGATCTAAATCACTTGATGTACCAATTGATGCTGAATTTACATTGTGAGATATTATTTAAATTGTTATTCTTTTTTTTTTAAATAAAAGCACCCTCCCAATGTTGAGAGGATGTGGCCTGGTATGGTTCAAGAGAGGGGGGGGGGGAAGACTCCATGATTACTGCCCTGCCTTTCCTGGCATCCCAGATTTAATGTCTGGATAAGGGTCTGGTTTGAATTTTCGGGGCAACCAGAAGTCGGGAGCTGTTATTTAGCATTGGTAGTTTGTTATGTCAGTTCTAAAGTGTTAACTTCTACAGTTCTGTGACCTCACATACAGCTTTTAGACATACCCAAATATGTTATTTCAAGGATTTGTCTATTTTCACTGTTGCCCATCATGGCACAATAACTGCTTAAGTCCCAGCTGTGATTTAAAAAGGGCACTGGAATAGTGGCTTTTTGTCCCAGCTGGCTGTGGCTATGGACGGCTCCCCCCTGGGAACTAGTGCTTGAACCACTAAGCCATAACCTCTAATTTGATTGTTTCAGCTCCTGGGCTACTGATGCTTCCACAGCTTGCTCCATAGTAGTACACATTAGAAGTGAATTTAAAACACAACCCTTCCATGTTGTGTTTATATTGTGAGTGTTAAAAAGTATAAAGAAGTGTATAATATTAAAGAATACAAGATGAGATTTCAGCCTTCCACAGTCATGAGAGATTCACAGCTTAATCTGGGAATTAAAAATCTCTTGTGTAGTTCTCTTTGAAACTAATATGATGCAATCATTGAAATCCGTTATATCAATGAGAGAATCAATTGGAAAAATTAGGCGAGTTGTCAAACCAGTGAACTGAAAATTTTATTAGTCACCTAAATGTATGTAAACAGGTTTGTTCAGTCTACAGAATTGATTCAGATCCACTGTATCTCCATCAACATACAGATGAATGAAAAACGGATCTCAGTTCAATCATCACTAATTAATCTTACCCTATATTTATTGGAGGTTCCTATATATGTCATCATCTAAGGTACTTCATCTTAGATCATTTTGTGGGCTATTATGCAACATTTTATAAGTCAGTGCTGATCTTTTAAGATAGATTGTACTCCTAAACCATCATCTTTAGCACAGCAAATAGGATAATACACAGAGCATAAAAAACAGCTTAGTCAGAGGGATGGAGAAATACCTGTCACAAATAAAACAGGAAATAAAATGTTTATTGGTCGCAACAAGATCATACATTTTTATTTTCAAGTTTCCTTGCAATGTAGACTATAAAAACATGCCTGTCTGGTTTGTCAAAACATGACGCATTTTATAAACTTGGAATACACTCTGGTGAATTTTTTACTGTTTTGAATCTAAGATGCAAATGTTTGTAAAATATTGTGCTAATATTAAACAATGATTGGCTTAAATACCCCAACGACTGATTTAATAAATCTATAATGGTCCAGGAATAGATAACTAGTAGTCATTAATATCTGAATATGCTGTATTTGTAAAATGTATATTTTGCCCTCTAATTTACTTGCCTCCTACTACACCTACTTTAATCTTGTAACTATTCCTTAAAGTGAATACATTTTTAGAAAGTTATTAAACTTTTAAATACAATTAAAATATATTAATACACATAATCAATACAACATATTTAGCAATCAAACAAAGAAATTGTGCAATTCATTTCCAGTGAGTACTGTACTTTAAAATACAGGTGTTCAGCCAATAGTTTTGAATCAGAGTGTTTGTAATTACATCCAACCATATAAAAAAAGGTCCAGCAGTTTCAAAAGTATAAAATATATTCAATAGTAAGGGATAGAAAGAAAGAACCCAATAGTGCTTATCTTCTCATTGCTCTTAAATGTAATTCTTGTGCAAAGCACCAGTGAGTGCTCTTCCTAATGTGTTCAAACTCACCAAATTAAATTGATCTCAAATGTTTATGGTCAAAGAGCACTCATAATCATTTCTCTACAGTGTTTCCACTCTTTATCATGCAGACATCTGAATAAATATCTACATTCCATGTATCCAAACAAAGGAAGAGCAATCTTGCATAATGTAAAACTGTTAATAGGTTTATTCAGACATTAAAAACATGCTCGCAAACCATTCTAGCACAGATGCTATGCCAGGTGCTAGAATGAGCTTTCCAGCACCCTACATAGGACAAATACCTCCAAAAATGGGACTGTTGGGACATAAGGAAGAGGTGGTGGCTAAGAAACTACCTGGCTGGTGATTTTAAATGGTTAAATGCATTATTGAAGGAAGCCTTTACAGAGAAACCTGACCTGTTACAAGCATTATTATTGTTTTTTATGCATTTACAGTATATATTTAGGCAACTTGGGTCATGCCAATATCTAAAGTCTAAAAATGCAGAGACACACCTCTGCCTGGCTAGGAGCCTTCTGGACAGATTGTATCAATATACCCTGTATTTAACATATAATATCCAAAGCTTAAGAACATTGTAATATAAACATACTGTATATCCTAGATCAGGGCTCAAAATGTCAAGTCCTGAGCTACTAGCCAGGCCTCAAGAGTTTCTAGCCACCAGTTGCCCCACCTAACCCTTACCATGGCCCAGCCTTAACTCCGCCCATAAACACACCCTCTTAAATAATCTTATGATAATTCTTATCTTATGATAGTTGCCGCTTGTAAATGGCAGATTAGGGATTCCTGCTGCAGGAAAACGCAAGTTCCTGACACAGGAATCCCTAATCACACCTGAAATATACTCTAGGTGTGAATGGAGAATAATATACACATACACTAAAGGTGTCTATACAC